AAGCCTCCAGGGGTGAACCTTCCTTTTAGCGCGTGTTTTGAAGTTGTTTGTGATCTCTAGGCGGTCCGGTCCATGTGACACCGAGAACCATGAAACATGCGCATGATGTTCACACAGGTTTCTGGAACAGCCAGCCTTAAAGTTTCTTTTCGTTTCTATGGTACATAGGATGAGGGAGGCACTTGATGCAAAGCCGTCAATCAGCCGAACTGGATACAGTACAAAAGTGTACAAAGATGTACAAAGTGTGTATATAGTGGCCACTTGGGAAGCTTTCCTTAATTGCGTGCTTGAACCCGGCCCTCCCGGAAACCTTTTGGAGTTGGCTACTTGGTTCAGCTGGCGAAAAGTTACTGAAACATTTGCATACATTTACATCGTACTACAGGAAATACTATGGATGTACTCTTGTCAGTACACTTGCTGCAAAGCTACCTTATGCCTTATATTGCCTCATGCTGCGTCCATGACACCAATGATACTTGTTTCGCCATTTTCCTGGATGCTTTCTCCTCCCGCACATTGGCCAGGGTGGTCACTTTCTATGCCTTCGCAGCATCGGTTTACCTGCGGAAGAGTTTGCGATTGGCTTTGGACCGGAGGTCATGCCCCACAAAATGGTTGGTCCAAACAAGCAGAACATAGTAAAGATGCCACTTGCACATACAATACACACAAAGACGTCATCAAATCATATCGGATTCGCAACTTAGAGGCTAACATGCACATTTATGGAGACCCTAGCCAGGAATCAGAATGTTTTCCTTGCTTGCAGACTCACAATCACCTTGAAGTTTTCCTTCGATACTGACTGGCCGTGAATAACTACTGTACACGAACGGCGATTCGCTGCCGATTGGTCCCATTTGCAGACCCTAGCAGCAGCTTGTGAGCGTTTGCAGTTTGTTTTTTCTTTTAAACATTTAGAAAGTCATTCATTATGATATTTATGCAGGTATGTAGACCATTTGCCAGGTGATCAACTTTGGCCGAAAAGATGGTACTGAGTTCGTAGTCAGAGCACTACCTATTGGTGGCTATGCAACTTGGATCAACTTGGACATGTGTTTTGAAGCTCATGGTGCCAAACAAAATGCGGTCCGAGGCAAAGCAAGGTCTAGTCTGAAGTGCAGAAAACTGTCAAAGAGTAGCCAGCATGTCTGCAAGATGTTCTACACGCGTGGATCAATTTATTTGGCCAAGGAAAGAACTTCTGGTTTCTAACTTTTTTCCAGCTTGGTTCTTAGCTGCTAGTCACTGAATTCTTCGACTGGTGTTTGCGCAGCACATTAGCCGAATTTTCCCCAGGTTCGATTTCAAGATGAGAAGACTGTGAAACTGGAAGACGGAAACATGGCAACTTGGAATGAAGCTTCAGCTTGACAACAAGTACTTCTTTGACCGCCCTACAGTTATCTAAATGTATCTAAATGTTGTTTTTGTTTGATAAGTACATCTCACTCCACATGCTAAGTTTACACTGCCGTGAAGATGGTGTAAAGGACTTCCCGACCTTAGCCTTACGAACCACCTTGTGCTGGCAACACGCCTAGCTATTTCTAGCTGGGGCTCGTAGTGGGCTGCTGAATAACAGTCGCGAGGATGTGTACGTTTGGTTTATGTGTCGCTTCTGCTGAATATATAATATATAATCCACGGTCTATTATCTATATAATCGAAGAAAGTTTAGAAGTCAAACTTCCGACAATATGGACAGATGAAAAGCAGAGTAGGGCAGAGGCAGAGAGAAGAGAAAGATTAGAAGAGAGAAGAGAGAAAGAGTCAGAAGACAGAAGATGCAGATGCGCGAAAAGGTAGGAAAGTCGCGAAACACTGTGTTTTTCCAATGATTTGTGGCTCCGGAGAGTCGAAAAGTAGGCTCGCTAAAGCGGCGGGTGCGGAGCCAGCTGGCCAGATGAGAGATGAAAAATTGCACGCCGTTGTGGCGCGAAGCACATTTCCAAGTCAAAATGTACAAACACACCATGCTCAGACCACTTTTGGAAGTTGAGATGTCGAAAAAGTGCACGCCGTTGTGGCGCGAAGCACATTTCCAAGTCAAATGTACAAAACACACCATTTCGGACCACTTTTGGAAGGGAGATGTCGAAAAAGCGCACGCCGTTGTGGCGCGAAGCACATTTCCAAGTCAAGATGCACAAACACAGCATGCTCCCACCACTTTTGGAAGTTGAGATGTCGAAAAAGTGCACGCCGTGGTGGGGCCGCGAAGCACATTGCCAAGTCCAAAATGGTAAGAAACAACCAGGGTTCGGACCACGTTTGGAGGGTCAGTATGTCGCTTCGCTTCACACACGACATTACACTACAACTAAACTCCACTCCAACGGCAGCTGCACTACCTACAACTACATTACACAACCTACACTTACACTACACTCCACTACACTACCTCCCACTCCACTCCACTACACTCCACTACACTCCACTACACTCCACACCACTCCCTACAACTCACACAACTAATCACACTACACTACATACACTACACTCCACTACACTACACTACATGACACTACACTCCACAACACTACAACTACAACTACACAACTACACTCCACTACACTCCACTACACTAAATTACACTACACTACACTACATTACCCTACACTACACTCCACTACACTACATTACACTACACTACCTTCCACTACACTTCACTACATTACACTACACTACACTCCACTACACTACAACTACAACTACAACTACAACTACACAACTACACTCCACTACAATACACTCCACTACACTAAACCACACTACATGACACTACACTACACTACACTACATTACACTACACTACACTACCTTCCACTACACTTCACTACAGTACACTACACTACACTCCACTACGCTACAACTACGAATGCACAACTACACTCCACTGCACTAAATTACACTACACTACACTACATTACACTACACTACACTGCATTCCACTACACTCCACTACACTACACTACATACACTACACTACATTACATTGAAGGACACTGCACCACAGATAGACAGGTCGACAGGTAGACAGACAGACAGACAGACAGACAGACAGATAGATAGATAGATAGATGGATGGATAGACAGGTAGACAGCTAGACAGATAGACAGATGAAAGAGAGAGAGAGAGATAGATTAGATAGACAGATAGATAGATGGATGGATGGATAGACAGACAGACAGATAGATAGATAGATGGATAGGTAATTAGATGAAAGAGAGAGAGAGATAGATAGATCCATGGATAGATCGATACATAGAAGATAGGTTGGTAGGTGGGTAGATAGTCAGAGAAAGAGAGAGAAAGAGAGGAGATCTCAAGCACCTTTCGGTCCATCAGTGGATTCGCGCTGCCATCCCTGATTCACAACAACCAATCTCTCCTATAGGTTTCCTATTTTTGAAACTTCCGCCGCTGCCTTGTGCGGTACTACTGGTAAGGATACAATAAGGATATACAGTATGATCTTATATAGTTCATTCAAGAGTTCCGATATACTCTATATAATGTATGTATATAGTTATATAATGAATATAATTATATACATGCATACAATATATATATTATAGTCTAGTACAAACAAATGCAGATGGTGTGACGATGTGTGAATGGCATTTTGAAAGGATCGACTGCATGCACAAACTTAAATCTGCGAGGTGACCGAATTTGATGCTCGCAGTGCGCCTGAGCGCCTTTGGGTGTTGGCTGGTGGAGTATTGGCCAACGTCGCTGTGGTGCCCTACTTAGCACCGATCTCAAGCATCGGGAGGAACTCGAAAAACACTAGGTAAACTTGGGCAAACAATTATATAAATAGGCAAGAACATGATACACCATGTAAATCTATGCATAAACATATTGAATTTGCTGCGCATGCCACAAGTCGCAGGCTTGGTCGTCCTTGGTCCTTGGCGTGCTGAATTTTGGCGTGCCGACCAGGGACCCGCTGCCGGGCATCCGAATTGAGGCTGCGCCGCTGCGCCTGAGACATCCAGTCCTTGGTCATAGTGTCATGATGGCCGTAATGCTTGACATTCTTACTGTATACATTACATATATCTTCTCTCAGGCTCAGGTTCACTCAGGTTCAATTCTTTTGTTTGTTTTTAGATCATGTTGGATTTACATGGTAAACTCATGTGACACCTGCAGTTCATCCGCTTTGTTTTTTTCTTCCCACTGGTAGCGCAGAAGCTTTGTGCAAGGCAGTGGATGAGGCGGCCTTCACTCGAACAGGATTAAAGGCCAAGGATGTTCTTCTGAAGATTGGCAGTTGCTTAGCAAATCAACATCAAATTGACGTTTTGATAATTTTTGAATAATATTCTTGATATAATATATATATGTATGTATGTATATATATATGTATGTATATATATATATGTATGTATGTATGTATATATATATGTATGTATGTATATATATATGATCGAGAGACCTTTAGGTACCATTTTGTTCCGGTTAATTCTCATAATGTTTAAAGCTTTTTGGCAAATTGAGAGGATTTAAAGAATTAAATGATTTAATCCTTTTAATCCTCCAGAGCCTTTGGGGGATTAAACGGATTAAAAGGATTAAATCATTTAATCCTTTTAATCCTTTTAATCCTCCAGAGCCTCAAAATAGATTTCAAACATGGATTTGCCTGAATTTGTTTGGGGAAAAATATATATATATATGATCGAGAGACCTTTAGGTACCATTTTGTTCCGGTTAATTCTCATAATGTTTAAAGCTTTTTGGAAAATTGAGAGGATTTAAAGAATTAAATGATTTAATCCTTTTAATCCTTTTAATCCTCCAGAGCCTTTGGGGGATTAAACGGATTAAAAGGATTAAATCATTTAATCCTTTTAATCCTTTTAATCCTCCAGAGCCTTTGGGGGATTAAACGGATTAAAAGGATTAAATCATTTAATCCTTTTAATCCTTTTAATCCTCCAAAGCCTCTGGAGGATTAAAAGGATTAAAAGGATTAAATGCTTGGTCCTCACATTGGGGTTCTGGGGGCTCTGGAGGATTAAAAGGATTAAAAGGATTAAAAGGATTAAATGATTAAATCCTTTTAATCCTTTTAATCCTCCAGAGCCTTTGGGGGATTAAATGGATTAAAAGGATTAAATGATTTAATCCTTTTAATCCTTTTAATCCTCCAGAGCCCCCAGAACCCCAATGTGACGACCAAGCATTTAATCCTTTTAATCCTTTTAATCCTTTTAATCCTCCAGAGGCTTTGGAGGGTTAAAAGGATTAAAAGGATTAAATCATTTAATCCAATGCTTGGGCCTTAGACTCCAGATCTCTGGGGGATTAAAAGGATTAAAAGGATTAAATGATTTAATCCTTTTAATCCTTTTAATCCTCCAGACCCTTTGGGGGATTAAACGGATTAAAAGGATTAAGTGATTTAATCCTTTTAATCCTTTTAATCCTCCAGAGCCTTTGGGGGATTAAATGGATTACAAGGATTAAATGATTTAATCCTTTTAATCCTCCAGAGCTTTTGGGGGATTAAAAGGATTAAAAGGATTAAAAGGATTAAAAGGATTAAATCATTTAATCCTTTTTAATCCCTTTAATCCTTTTAATCCTCCAGAGCCCCCAGAACCCCAATGTGAGGACCAAGCATTTAATCCTTTTAATCCTTTTAGTCCTCCAGAGGCTTTGGAGGATTAAAAGGATTAAAAGGATTAAAGGATTAAATGATTTAATCCTTTTAATCCTTTTAATCCTCCAGAGCCTTTGGGGGATTAAACGGATTAAAAGGATTAAATGATTTAATCCTTTTAATCCTTTTAATCCTCCAGAGCCTTTGGGGGATTAAATGGATTAAAAGGATTAAATGATTTAATCCTTTTAATCCTTTTAATCCTCCAGAGCTTTTGGGGGATTAAAAGGATTAAAGGATTAAATCATTTAATCCTTTTAATCCCTTTAATCCTTTTAATCCTTTTAATCCTCCAGAGCCCCCAGAACCCCAATGTGAGGACCAAGCATTTAATCCTTTTAATCCTTTTAGTCCTCCAGAGGCTTTGGAGGATTAAAAGGATTAAATGATTTAATCCTTTTAATCCTCCAGAGCCTTTGGGGTATTAAATGGATTAAAAGGATTAAATCATTTAATCCTTTTAATCCTTTTAATCCTCCAGAGCCCCCAGAACCCCAATGTGAGGACCAAGCATTTAATCCTTTTAATCCTTTCAATCCTTTTAATCCTCCAGAGCCTTTGGGGGATTAAAAGGATTAAAAGGATTAAATCATTTAATCCTTTTAATCCTTTTAATCCTTTTAGTCCTTTTAATCCTCCAGAGCCCCCAGAACCCCAATGTAGGACCAAGCATTTAATCCTTTTAATCCTCCAGAGCCTTTGGGGGATTAAAAGGATTAAAAGGATTAAATCATTTAATCCAATGCTTGGGCCTTAGACTCCAGATCTCTGGGGGATTAAAAGGATTAAACGGATTAAAAAGGATTACATTTCGCGGCTGTTTCTTGGTTTTGCGCCTGCTTCTTGGCCTTTGCGCCTGTCTCTTGGCCTTTGCGCCTGTCTCTTGGCCTTTGCGCCTGTCTCTTGGCCTTTGCGCCTGTCTCTTGGCCTTTGCGCCTGTCTCTTGGCCTTTGCGCCTGTCTCTTGGCCTTTGCGCCTGTCTCTTGGCCTTTGCGCCTGTCTCTTGGCCTTTGCGCCTGTCTCTTGGCCTTTGCGCCTGTCTCTTGGCCTTTGCGCCTGTCTCTTGGCCTTTGCGCCTGTCTCTTGGCCTTTGCCTGTCTCTTGGCCTTTGCGCCTGTCTCTTGGCCTTTGCGCCTGTCTCTTGGCCTTTGCGCCTGTCTCTGGTGGCCTCTTGGCCTTTGCGCCTGTCTCTTGCGCCTGCTTTGCGCCTGTCTCTCTTTGCGCCTGTCTCTTGGCGCCTGTCTCTGGCCTTTGCGCCTGTCTCTTGGCCTTTACGCCTGTCTCTTTTGGCCTTTGCGCCTGTCTCTTGGCCTTTGCGCCTGTCTCTGGTCTCTTGGCCTTTGTGCCTGTCTTTCTTTCTCTGGCCTTGGCCTGTCGCCTGTCTCTGGCCTTTGCGCCCTTTGCGCCTGTCTCTTGGCCTTTGCGCCTGTCTCTTGGCCTTTGCGCCTGCCTCTTGGCTTTCGCATCTGTTTCTTCGTTTTTGCGCCTGCTTCTTGGCCTTTGCGCCTGTCTCTTGGCCTTTGCGCCTTTCTCTTGGCTTTTGCGCTTGCTTCTGGGCCTTTGCGTCTGTGTCTTCGTTTTTGCGCCTGCTTCTTGGCTTTTGCCTTTGTATTTGCTTTGCTGGACTTACCTTTTAACATTTTTAAGCTTGTTTTTTAAGCTTCTGGTTGTACCTTTTTGTATATTCTTGTTCTTGGCTTGCATTTTTCCCATTAACATATTATAATATATAGTTCTTTTTCTAAAACAAAAAACCTTTGAAATATGATGGCGTAGTACATATGACATATTATTGATTTGGCAGGGACCATTCATGTTTCATTGTACAATCTAGACTGACGGATGCTGCGTGAGAAGCTAATAGACCGACAAACAAGAGAGGTATAACAGCTCTGTTAGGGCAGTTGTCGTTTTGGCTACAAGCTAGAACCTACTCACCCTAAAAAGTTGCGAAAAGGGAGCCTTATCTGTCACCGAATTATATCGGATGCGGGGCTGGTGTTGCTGCTGTTGCATGTCGGTAGCGGAGCTGGTAGGGGAGCTGGTAGCGGAGTATTCCTAGCTGGTTTCGCGGGAGGGAATCACATGCTTGATGGTGCCTTTGTTTGCTTTGGGCAACACGGCCGAACTGTCTGCTGGAGATGGCCTATGAGAAACCAAAAGGCCAACAAACAAGAGAGGTATAACAGCTCTGTTAGGGCAGTTGTCGTTTTGGCTACAAGCTGGAACCCGCCCAGCCTAAAAAGTTGCGAAAAGGGAGCCTTATCTGTCACCGAATTATATCGGATGTGGGGCTGGTGTTGCTGCTGTTGCATGTCGGTAGAGGAGGTGGCAGGGGAGGTGGTAGCGGAGTATTCCTAGCTGGTGTCGCGGGAGGGAATCACATGCTTGATTGCTTGATGGTGCCTTTGTTTGCTTTGGGCAACACGGCCGAACTGTCTGCTGGAGATGGTCTATGAGAAACCAAAAGGCCGACAAACAAGAGAGCTATAACAGCTCTGTTAGGGCAGTTGTCGTTTTGGCTACAAGCTAGAACCCACCCACCCTAAAAAGTTGCGAAAAGGGAGCCTTATCGGTCACCGAATTATATCGGATGTGGGGCTGGTGTTGCTGCTGTTGCATGTCGGTAGCGGAGCTGGTAGGGGAGCTGGTAGCGGAGTATTCAAGATTCTGCGCTGGTCACCCGCGTAGAAAAAAGATTGAGGGTGTACATATCTATGCTCAGGAATCATTGTGATACATTGCATGCCTCAGACTTCTTGGGTGAGATTCCCAACCCATGCGATGGGGGGATAAGCAAGAGGACTTGGGAGTCGCAGGTGATGCTGTGCAGACAGAAGCTTCGGGAATTCAAACAGGGTCATGATGTTCAAGGCGGCAGCTCAGATGATAAGCAAGGCGGTGCAAGTTCTGACGACGATGACGAGGGCGGAGAGCCAGCAGAGCCCCGCTTCGTGATCGACGACGAGGGCCAAATCACTTTCCAAGACATCATCAAAGATTCCTTGGAGGAGGAAGTTCATGCTTTCATGGAAGAAATTGAGCACAACAACATTCGGAAGATGCACGGTGCATACTGTTGCCCTTTCTGCCCTTTCCGAGCTTTTGGTCGATTGTGCCAGCTCTCTGATCACCTGAGGCGCCATCATGTCGCCGCCAAGCAGTTTGTGTGCTCAGGAAAGAAGCAGTTAAAAGTGATTTTGGCCTTGCACGATTCAGATTCTGTCCGCAAAGAGAACGGTGCAGACTACTTGTTTCGCAGTGCCATGCTCCTTAGAACTCAAGTGGTTCCTCCTCTCGACCGCAACAAGAGTTTGATTGACAAGAACCTACGCCTGCTGCTAGAGAAAGACGGTCCAAGATATGTCAACCAAAAGGCCCTTGGAGAACAAATCGTTGCCCGCAGAGTGTTGAACATCTATTACGACAAATCCTTTGCCGAAATGGTCTACAGGGAAATTGTCTTGCACCATTCGAGTGTTCCTTGGCAGCAGCAGAACATGCACGTGCAATGTCATCGTTTTAACTTGTGTCAGAGCAGGATCATATTTTTTTTACGGTGTCAACCATGCCTTGGAATGATGTTCATAGTTCTTTTCTGAGGTCAAGAGCATTTGGCCTCGTGTACATTTGCGGGCTTTGGAAGCCGGCAACATGCTTGGGAACTTGTACTCTTCCCATACACGTCATTGGTGGCCTCTTGTGGAGGACATCTACATGTCCTATCAAGTCCAAAGCTTGAAGAGCTCCATCTTCAAAACTTTGGAACACAGTCAGGAATTCTTGTGCTTGTCCATTGATGCTACACTCAAAGTCTGCATGACTGTGCAGGGACAAGCAAACTATAGAGCATCGGCCCAAACCCGAAATGTGGCTTGCTTTGATGATGAGCATTCTTTGAGAAGGGTGCTGACTATCAGGGGGCGTACCGGTGCCGTCTTAGGCATGGTTCCTGTTCCGAGTGAAGAGTCACCAAAGATCAAGGAATCTCTGCGCAATCTTTTCTCCAACCAGGCATTGTTCCAGGTTCGATATTTAGCTACGGACAACCCCTCTCCTAAGCTCTTCCGCGAGTTGAAAGAGATCTGCCCAAACCTGAGCTGCCTCTCCTTGGATCCTGTTCATCTGGCCATTGTCTACGAATATGCCCAGTGGGGGAAGAAGACGGCTGGATCGAAAGTTCTACGGTGTTTGCTACATAAGATGAACCAGGTAGCCCCGAACATGCGTTCCAGCTCTTGGGGGCCCCTCTTCACTGGCACCGCACCGCCAAGCCTGACTCGCGATGAAGAGCGGGCACGACATCTCATCACTGACGGCAGCATGGGCGCAACCAGGGCCAAACGCATCCTGGACAACCTTCATCCAGATTCGCCTTTGTTCTGCCGAATCACCTTCATTGAGGCATTAGCCGCCCTTTGTGCAACGTACCCACATGAGGTGAGCCGTAAAGTGACAGGCTCCAACAAAGAAATTAGGAAGGTTCTTTGGGCAGCCACAGCACCAGATAGATTGGAATGGCTGATGAACAACCTCCGTGTGCGGCACGATCTAACCCCTCTAGAGCGGGGGTTGCTGCCAAGCGGCACGTCCTCTAATGAGTCCCTTCATGCCGAGATAAATTCGTGGACTAAGTCCATCCGTTCATTGCACCAGAGCACACTGCGGCTGAAGCTTGAAATTATGCAGTTTGGCAAGGTGCTCGCCCATCATGTCGCCTCGTGTTTTCCTACGGTGCAGCAGACTTCAGAAGCTGTCCTGCTTGCGCGGGCAGTGGCCACTGATGTCTGGACCGATGCCACCTGGCAAAACTGTTGCTCGTCTGCCAAGGCACCTGTACCTTTGCATCGGGCGCGGCAAGCGGAAGCCAGAAAGGTACAGAAGTGGAAGCAAACAATCCCCATGAAGAGACGCGGAAAGAGGACAGTCCACTCTGTCAAACGTGTGCACTCGATTCGATCTTCCGGCGTCAAGCCGAAAAGGCTTCGACGATAGCGTGCAGCAGTGCATTGGATTGGCGATCTTCCGGCGTCAAGCCGAAAAGGCTTCGACGATAGCGTGCAGCAGCGCATCGGATTGGAGAAAAGAAAGTCCAAGCCTCTGTTCATGCATATGTGACATGTGTGTTGAAGATGTGTTTGCAAGTCCGAAGCGATGCAAGTCCTGTGCCACCTTCCTTGTTTAGTTTTTGCAACAGTCTCACCAAGTGCCCTGGTAGGCTTGCAAGGGTTCACTGCAATCGAGGAGGCACGATTGGGGCCTGTGGTTGGTGTTGCCTGGCTTGTTCCAATATGGACCGCGTTGTCGGGTTAACGAAGCGTTGACAAGGAGCTTCGCGTGCCCAACCATCAGCAATCGCCCAACAGCACACAAGCCAGCACGTCCGTTTTCCCACCCAGCCCTCCCATCCATGATTGCTGCCACCACGGACATGGAGGCTGAAACAACCCATCCCATATCCATGAATGAAGAAACGAAAATGTCATACTCACGCAGAGCGCTGCAGTAGGTTGTGGGTAAACATGTTCCGTTGAAAAAGTCGATATTTTGTCTGCCCAACCTTTGGCAGAGCTTTTTCAGCAAGCGTGCAGCAGTTTTCCGCCCAGCCTTCCCGTCCATAGTCGCCACCATGGACATGGAGGCTGAAACAGATCTATCCCATATCCACGGATGAAGAAACCAAAACGTCATGCTCACGCAGAGCGCTGCTGGAGGTTGTGTTTAAACATGTTCCGTCGAAAAAAACTAGAAAGTGCCCAGCCTTTGGCGGAACTTTTTCAGCAAACTTGAAGCAGTTTTCCCGCCCAGCCTTCTCGCCCATTGAAGTCACCACCGTGGAAATGGAGGCTGCAACAGATCCATCCCATACCCATGGATGAAGAAACCAAAACGTTATATCCACGCAGAGCGCTGCAGGAGGTTGTGGATGAACATGTTCAGTTTCAAAAGATTCTGCGTGCCCAGCCCTTCATCTGAGCTTTGCAGCAAGGGCGCAGCAACGAGCAAGCCAGTACATGTGTTTAACAGTCCCACCCTCCCATCCCAGTTACTGTCTCCGATCAACGTCCAGCGCTTCGGAAAGTCTCGCGCGATTATACAAATGTTTGCTGTAGCGCTCATTAGATTGAAGAAGATGCCTTTCTAGGCCAACGAACGAAATAGACCCCAAAGGTCCCTGCCACATATATATATATACAGTTTTGCAATGTTTTGCACACGCTTCCCAATTTGGATGGTTGAGCCGCATGTCCAATCCCAAGGCTTGGACCTGAACTTCATTGGAGCTGATGTCCGTGCCTGGTCTACAGCTCCGCCACAACATGTCCCTGTCAATACATGTCATTTGTCAAGCAGTTTCCACGACGTGTTTCCACACATTCCCTGGGTCTTTACTGGTCTTTGGTTTTGGATGATTTCGGGTTTCACATGCTCATGCCATCTCATGCCCATACCATGATCACCAGCTACAAATCAGCATGGCTGATATGCTTGATCTGTTGATTGAAAGATTCACTGAGGCTCTACAGTAGATTACATCAGCAAGCTGCCGCAGGGCAGGCCACTTTTCCTGGATCATGACATATGATCAGGGTCAATGATTCGAAGCGGATCCATAGATATCCATGATATCCAAGGTGATCAACAGACCACTTAAGGCACTGCCAAACAGTACAACAAAGAACCTGCTTGTTGCTGAACTTGGTTTCTTTAGCTGACAGGGCTGTGGAGATGGTAGTTGACCGAGCTGGTGAGCAGCTTCAACTGAATGGCACCACCGTCACAGATCCCAACACAGGGTGCCTCGGCTAGTTTTTGCTGCCACCATAGGTGCCACATCCTTTTTTGGAAGTTCAGGAAACGTGGAATTGCAACACTGGCCATCTCGAGTCAAGACCACCGCAGCTCCGTTGTGAGATGGGCTTTTCTGAAACTGCTCCTAGCTTTTGTCGGAAAGGTGTGACAGGTCTATAGTATATACATGTATATACCGTGCATGGACCAATTTTCAGTGTTTTAGGATCACGCTACCTTAGCTATATTATTTCGGGGGGGTCACGTACCAAAGTAATTTTTCAGAAATAATTTTCAATTTCATGCGAAAACCATATACTTCTGGCATAGGTCAAACCATGCAAAAATAATTTCCGGGCTAGAAATTATTTTAACGGGGTCCGACCCCATCAAAATAATTTTCCAACGAGGGGTCAGGTGCCAAACAATTATTTCGAAATAATTTTGGTTGAGCCTATCGTAGCATTGCCGTTTTGTGGTGTCAAGAATGTTTGTCCATCGTCATTGTCAAATGAAACTGCCGAAGCTTCAGTAGCCATTTGGTTCACAATCACCCCTACCTTAGTTACCCCCCCTCCCCCTCTTAATAATAAAACGTAGCTAGCTATTTCAATGGGGCTTGACATACATTCGATTCATCGACTTGACCTAGGAACACCTGGAAATCATGTCCATTAACCCCCCCTCAAAATGTCTTTCCCCAGGGTTTCCCTAGAATGATATTATTTCAAATGTTGACCCCCTTTCACATAATTATTTTGCAGGGAGTGCCACATGTCAAGCTTCAACGACAAGTGTTCTCCACCCCCCCTTCCACTCCAACTCAATGTTTAAAGCATGTTTTGAAATATGAGGGACGCCTTCAAAGAATGCCCCGTCAATATGCATCAGAAATCCCAGAGCAACCGAAGGATACCCCTATCCAAAAATCTAGCGACAAAAGGGAATGCGTAGCATTGCGTAGCCTACGGAAACAGAATTGAAGAAAATCACAAAGTACATTATATCAGGAAATCCTGCACAATTTTGGCTTTGCAAAGACGTTTTACTATTATTTTTGAGGTATGTCTTCCTGCGAAACCCGAGTGCAGGAAAAAAACGCGATGGACCATCTTGGTTTGAAAAAACGCGATGGAAAACAAAAATTGCGATAAAACCAAACAAAATGCGATAAATGATTTTGCCAAATTGCGGCACCCACAGCCTCGTTCTCTTTTAAGTCTGGGCGCCATGGATTCGGAGAATTGGTTCTGTGGAAATAAAAGATAGAGAGGCGGGATCTTGAAATTTTTGGGCCATGGCCACACATGCCGGAAATGTTGGTTTTAAAATGGTTGAAACATATGTCCGCAAATTTCCGCGATATTCCAGCAAATTTCCGCGATATTCCCGCAAATTTCCGCGATATTTGTGTTTCGTTTTTTTGTTTCTACAAGAAATATGTTGCAAACCTGTTTTCAACTGTTGTGAGAGTTTAGCTCAGGCATATCACCCAATTTTTTGGGATTGCCTTTTTCATATCTTCAGCCAAGATTGCCTTTTTCATATTATGTAATGGAAAGGGCGGCCAAAGCGTGTGAAGAACCTGAGAACACCTGAAATGACCAAAAATTGCGATATTTCAAATTTTCAAGCCTTTCCCATCCCGGATCTTCAAAAAGTAGGTTTTGTTGAATATCACTTTTTTTTCTGGCACTTAGGGCGCCCCAGGTTGTTGTTTTTTTGGGATCCATGCGTTGCAAATCCGGCAGCGCAAATAAATTTAATCATCATGCTTCATGTGTGCTCCCTCCTAGTCATCTCAGAATCTCCCTTCAATTTAAATTGCACCAAGAACGCATCAGAATTTGCAACCCGCAAAAAAACGTTCTTTGGGAAATTATTTTAGATTGGAGATGCCCTGCACTCATCAAAAATCAATGTGGGCAGTTGCCAGGACCATCTATCCAACTTGCCCTGGAAACGAACTCAAAAACATATAAAGACCAAATGCTTACCATCGAGAATTCTTTGGAGGCACATGAAAGGAATATGGGAGAAATATTGCGAAAGAAGGGAAAATATGAAAGGTTAGGAAAACCACTACAGGAAAGAGCCAGGTTGAATACTATTTCGTGGGATTTCTCAAGGGGAGAAATTATTTTAGGGTTATGAAGAACCGAGCCAGCTACACATTGGACATCTTTAAAATATTTATTTTTTCATTGTTTTATCATTTTGGTTATCATTGCATTCATTATTTTTTTAATCATTTATTTTATCATCTTCATTTTTTTATCATTTTTTAATCATGTTTTATCATTTTTTGAATCATTTTTTATCATTTTTTTAACATTTTTTTATCATTTTTTTTAATCATTTTTCATCATGTTTTCTTCCAGTGGTGCAAAAATTTTCCAAGAAATGGAAAATTACAATTTTCCTCGAGTTTTTTTTCATTTGTTTATCATGTTTTATCATTTTTAAATCATGTTTTTATCATTTTTGCTTCCAGTGGTGGAATTGATGAAAAATGATAAAAAAATGATTAAAAAATGAAAAAATGATAAAAAAAATGAAAAAAATGAAAAAAAATGAAAAAAAACAAGGAAAATTGCAATTTTCCAAAAAATGAAAAATTGCAATTTTCCTCGTTTTTGTTTTCATTTTTTTATTTTTTTTTCATTTTTTATCATTTTTCATCATTTTTGCTTCCAGTGGTGCAAAAATTTTGCAAGAAATGGAAAATTACAATTTTCCTCGAGTTTTTTTCTTGTTTTTATCATTTTTTTAATTTTTTTGCTTCCAGTGGTGGAATTGATGAAAAATGATAAAGAATGATGAAAAATGATAAAAAAATGAAAAAACATGATAAACAAATGAAAAATAAATGAAAAAAAAACCGAGGAAAATTGCAATTTTCCAAAAAATGAAAAATTCCAATTTTCCTCGTTCTTTTCTTTTTTTTTATCATTTTTTTTCATTTGTTTAAACATTTTTTTTTATCATTTTTGCTTCCAGTGTTGGAATTGATGAAAAATGATAAAAAATGATGAAAAATGATAAAAAAATGATCAAAAAATGAAAAAAAAATGATAAAAAATTGAAAAAAAAACTCGAGGAAAATTGCAATTTTCCAAAAAATGAAAAATTACAATTTTCCTCGAGTTTTTTTCATTTTTTTTTATCATTTTTTTATCATTTTTCATCATTTTTGCTTCCAGTGGTGCAAAAATTTTTCCAAGAAATGGAAAATTACAATTTTCCTCGAGTTTTTTTTCATTTTTTTATCATTTTGTTTATCATTTTTGCTTCCAGTGGTGGAATTGATGAAAAATAATAAAAAGTGATGAATAATGATAAAAAAATGAAAAAATGATAACAAAAATGAAAAAAAATGAAAAAAAAACTCGAGGAAAATTGCAATTTTCCAAAAAATGAAAAATTGCAATTTTCCTCTTTTTTCATTTTTTTTCATTTTTTTATCATTTTTTTATCATTTTTTTCATTTTTTTATCATTTTTTTATCATTGTTTTTCATTTTTTTATCATTTTTGCTTCCAGTGGTGGAATTGATGCAAAATGATTAAAAATGATGAAAAATGTTAAAAAAAAGCAAACAAATGAAAAAAAATAAAAAAAAAATAGGTAAAAAAATGAAAAAAACTCAAGGAAAATTGTAATTTTCCATTTCTTGGAAAATTTTGCACCACTGGAAGCAAAAATGATGAAAAATGATGAAACAATGATTTAAAAAAATGATAAAAAAATGATTAAAAAAATGATAAAAAAATGATTAAAACAATGATAAAAAATGATAAAAAAAAATGAAGATGATAAAATAAATGTTAAAAAAATGATGAATGCAATGATAACCAAAATGATCAAAAATGGAAAAAATGAAAAAATAAATATTTTGACCTGGCCCAGTCTGTGGCTGCAAGTTTTTCATAATTTTAGGGGTATTCGAGATGCCTTGCACTTCTCAAAATACTGCTACCAGAGCGACCCAACTCGCCCAGAGGCTGGGAAAAAAACTGAAAAACCTATAAAAACCGAATGCTTGCCCTTTCCCTATCATTCCCACCGTCTTTTTTGACAGGACATGAAGGGAATATGGGAGAACTAGGGAGAAGTATGAAAACATTAGAAATATGTAGGAAAAATTCAATGATGAAGATAATTATTGAACACCACTTTGCGGAAATTCCCAAGGGGAGAAGGTCTGATAGGTTTTTTCCCGAGAGCGCCTGCGAAGGGTTCTTCGTAAATAAGCGTAGGACCGTGTTTTCTCCATCTTTCACACTTCCACAGCTGCTCTCCTAGTGCAATCTTCATTACAACTCTTACCGAAGCCTCTCCACTCACTTGTCTGATCTACATGTCTTACTATACATCGACGGTACCTTGCACAGAAGAAAACAGAGAAAGCTCTGCCCTGATCATCAGATCTTCACACCTTCACATCTGCAGATCTAGATCTCTTCACACCTCACACCTGCCCCAGGAGATCTTCACCCCTCACGCCTGCAGATTCACACCCTCACACCTGCAGATCTACATCTTCTCACCTTCACACCTGCAGATCTAGATCTTCACACCTTCACATCTGCAGATCTCCTCTCGCTCTTCTCTATTCTCTCTTAAGGCGGGGGCGGTGCCGCCGGAGCGCCACGAAACGCAACCCTTTCGCACGAAATGGACGTTGGACGTCCAAAACCTACGTAAAATTGCGATTTTGAAGCGTCCCCGGCAACCCTTTCGCACGAAATGGACGTTGGACGTCAAAAACTGAGGAAAAATTGCGACTTTGAAGCGTCGCGCGCAACCCTTTCGCACGAAATGGATGTTGGACGTCAAAAACTGAGGAAAAATTGCGACTTTGAAGCGTCCCCGGCAACCCTTTCGCACGAAATGGACGTTGGACATCAAAAACTGAGGAAAAATTGCGACTTTGAAGCGTCCCCAGCAACCCTTTCGCACGAAATGGACGTTGGACGTCAAAAACTGAGGAAAAATTGCGACTTTGAGGTGTCAAT